AGTGTTATCTCATGTGGTCCTCACAATTCTGGGAAGGTGATTTAAAAAAAAAAAAAAAGGTTCAGAGAAGTTAAGTAACTTGTTAAAGGTCACAGCTAAAAGATAGCAAAGCCAAGATTTGAACCTCAGTCACTTAAACCCTGAAGCCTACCCTCTTGAGATATATTCCTGATTTAATTTAAAGAATCAATTTGTCTACCCTGTGGCCTATCCCCTCTGAGCTTTTGCTTTCCATCTGTACAGGAATTTCCTCTCAGCATACAGGTATGCTCCAGAATCTCCCAGGTGTTAAAAACTCTTCTCTGCTCTCCTCTAAATCAAATTTCTCCAAGTATTTGACTCCACTTTCTTAACCTCTAATTCCCTCTTAAACCTTCTCCATTCTAGCTTGACCCAACCACTATTCCTAATCTCTTCAAGGTCACCAAGGAATTCTAAGTGGCCAGATCTAATTGACACTTTACTATCCTCAGATTAATCTCTCAGCAATGCTGGGCACAAGCAACTCTCCCCCTCTAAATATCTCTTAGCTTCTAGCACTTTGCACCCTTGGCTTTCCTCCTACCTCAAAGCCTTTTTGCTGCTTCTTACCCCTCCCTCTGTTCTTAAATGCTGTGAGTGTCCAGGCTGTCTGGGCCTCCTCTCCATCCACACCTCAGGATGCTGTAAGTACCTTTCTTAAACCAAAGATTCATAAATTCCTACCTTCATCTCCTCTGCCCCTGTTAATGGGCTAAATCATCATCTTTCATATATTAATCACATTTCCCTCCTTAGGCCCTTTGGATTTGTTGTTTGTTTCTTCTGCCTGGATTGGTCTCCTTAGAATGTCCTATGCTTAGCTCCTTCTTGTAATCTAAACATCAGCTTTAATATTGGTTTTTTTTCTTTTTCTTTTTATTTTTTTTGTGAGAGATAGGATCTCCCTCCAAGCTGGAGTGCAGTGACTTAATCACAGTTCACTGTAACCTCGAACTCCTGGGCCCCAAGGATCCTCCTGCCTCAGCCTCCCAAAACTCTGGGATTACAGGCATGAGCTACCATGCCCAACCTTTTAATGTTATTTTCTAATTTCACACATTACATTTGGTATTAGCTGATATTATTTGCTTACTTATTAACTGCTTTCCCTAACTAGAACAGAAACTCCATGAGGGTAGGGACTTTGTGCTCTACTGAATTTCCAGAGTCTAGAATGGCTTTTTGTGTAAAAGAACAGCCTCCTAACTGGTTTCCTAGCTTTAATTATTGTCTCCATCCAACTATTTATCCAGAAGGCATCATCCACTCCCTTCCTCCCTTCAACCTATACACTTAAAGCTCTTTAATGTTGCCTGTTCCTAGAAGTGATCTTCCTTTGATAGATTATCCAAGGATCCACCCAACAAAAGAAACCATACTAACTCTTTGTACATAAAAATTATTTTTATCTCTTCAAAAAACAGTTCTTTAATGGACTCCTCTTGCATTTTAGAATAAAAATAACCACTCTTTACACGGTTAAAGACCCTGACCACTTCTCCAATTTACACTGTTCTACTTTTCTCACGCACTAAACTTCAAGCCATAATGACCTTTCGGTTCTTCATACACACCAGCCCCCTTCCAGCCTCAAGTCTCTGTACTTGTTCTCTTTTCTCAGCCTTCAGGTCTTATCTCAAGTATCACCTACATGAGGAGTCTTCCCACATTTACACAGACCAGCTCCTTGCCTTTCGGTTTCTTTCATGAATATTATCATAATCTGTATTTATATTTGTTTGTTGATTTATAATCTATCTCCAAGGGCAAGAATCTGGTCCGCCTCCATTTTTTATCCACAGCAGCTAGCACAGTGGCACTTCATAAAAGGCACCCAAATAATTTGTGGAATAAACAAACTGAGGACGGAGAACATTCAGTATCTTATCCATACAGCTTATGAGGCAAGTAAGTACTAGTTATCTCTTAAGAGCAAAAGCATCTTCTCAATATTTATAGTGACAAAGTGACTATGAGAAAGACAAATTCCTGTATGAAAAATGAGGGGTAGGGGGAACGATCCAAGATGGCCGATCGCTAACATCTCGGGATTGCAGCTCTCAGCGAAAACGCAGAGAACTAGAGGACGCCACACTTTCAGACAAATTCTGGTCGCTCACGGAGCAGAAGATTCCCAGTGGAGGAGCCACACGGGTCGCCAGCGCGACTCTTGTGGCCAGTGCAGCGGTTTCGCCGGCACCTCGGCACGGCAGCTCTCGGAGCAGAGTAAACAGGGCTGGCTCCCCTTCTGACGGAGGTTTGGAGCCCTGGGAAGGCAGAGTCGCCTATTACGGACACAAGAAGGAAGCCAGACAGGAGAATCCTGGGCAGAAAAGCACCATCAATCTTAACGCCGCTGTTCTGGCCCTGGGAACTAACTTGGACATCCACTCAAGAGACCTAATCTGAAAGTAGGTAATTTCAAAGATGACAGGAGGATAAATATGCAATGATGGGAAGAAACCAGCGTAAAAAGGCTGAGAATACTCAGAATCAGAACGCCTCTCCCTCTAAAGATGATCACAGTTCCACTTCAACAATGAAACAAGGCTTGATGGAGAACAAGCGCATCCCAATAACAAAATCATGCTTCAGGGAATGAATAAATAATAAGAAACTTCTGTGAGTTAAAAGAACATGTTGTAGTCCAACGTAAAGAAACTAAGAACTTTGAAAAAAGGTTTGACAAAATCCTATTGAGAATAGACAACTTAGAGAGGAATATAAATGAATTAATGGAACTGAAGAATACAATACAGGAACTCCGAGAAGTATGCACAGGTTTAAACACTCAAATTGTTCAAGCAGAAGAAAGGATATCAGAGGTTAAAGTCCAACTTAATGAAATAAAACGAGAAGACGAGATTAGAGAAAAAAGGATAAAAAGGAATGAGCAAAGTCTCCAAGAAATGTGGGACTATGTGAAAAGACCAAATCTACGTTTGATAGGTGTACCTGAATGTGACGGAGAGAATGAATCCAAGCTGGAAAATACTCTTCAGGATATTATTCAGGAAAGTTTTCCTAAACTAGCAAAGCAGGTCAATATTCAACCCCAGGTAATATAGAGAACACCACAAAGATATTCCTCAAGAAGAGCAACCCCAAGGCACATAATTGTTAGATTCACCAGGGTTGAAACGAAGAAGAAAATACTAAGGGCAGCCAGAGAGAAACATCAGGTCACCCACAAAGGCAAGCCTATCAGACTTACAGCAGATCTCTCAGCAGAAACTCTACACGCCAGAAGAGAATGGGGGCCAATATTCAACATCCTCAAAGAACAGAACCTTCAGCCCAGAATTTCATATCCAGCCAAACTAAGCTTCACAACTGAAGGAAAAATAAAATCTTTTATGAACAAGCAAGTACTCAGAGATTTTATTACCACCAAGCCTGCTTTACAAGAGCTTCTGAAAGAAGCATTACACACAGAAAGAAACAACCAGTATTAGCCTTTCAAAAAATATACCAAAAAGTAAAGAGCACCAACATAAAGAAGAATTTACATCAATGAATGGATAAAACAGCCAGTTAACATCAAATGGCAGTAACCCTAAATTTAAATCGACTAAATCCCCCAATCAAAAGACACAGTCAAAACCCAACGGAGCATGTTACATCCAGACCTGTTTCACATGCAAGGATTCACAAAGGCCCAAAACAAAGGGATGGAGATTTACCAACCAAATGGAGAGCAAAAATAAATAAATAAATAAATAAATAAATAAAAAGCAGGAGTTTCAATTCTCGTATTGGATAAAATAGATTTTAAAGCAACAAAGATATAGTGGTAAAAGGATCAATGCAACAACAAGAGCTAATGATCCTAACACCCAGATACATAGAGACTTAGATTCAATGAGACAGAAAATTAATAAGGATATCAAGGACTCAAACTTGGATCCAGAACAAGTAAACTTAATAAATATTTATAGAGCTCTCCACTTTAAATACACAAAATATACATTCTTGTCAATACCACATCACACCTACTCATAGGTTTAAATGAAACATTGATTGACCATTATTAATACCCATTTTGTTTTTCAGAATAAAGCAATATTTCCATTCACCCTCCCTCTTTCTCTTCCTCTTTCTTCCTCTCCTTTACTCATTTTTTTTTTCTTTCCTTCTCTCAAAAAAAAAAAAAAAAAAAAAATGAGGGGTAGACTGGGTGTGATGGCTCACACCTATAATCCTAGCATTTTGGGAGGCTGAGGCAGGAGGATCCCTTGAGCCCAGGAGTTTGAGACCAGCCTGGGCAACATAGGGAGACCCTGTCTCTACATAAAAAAAATACAAATAAAGAAAAAAAAATGAGGGGTAGCTAAACTTAGACAAGTTACTTAAACCTTTTGTGTCTGTTTCCTCACCTGTATAAAAGGTATAATACCTCCCATGTTGGAGGATAATGATAGGGATGAGAAATAACACATAAAGTGCATAACTTACAATAAGCATTCGATAAACAGCACATTAAAAAAAATTAAACTGGCCCTGCACGGTGGCTCATGCCTGTAATCCCAGCACTTTGGGAGGCTGAGGCAGGCCGATCACCTGAGATCGGGAGTTTGAGATCAGCCTGACCAACATGGTGAAACCCTGTCTCTACTAAAAACACAAAAATTATTGGCGTGGTGGCACACACCTGTAGTCCCAGCTACTCAGGAGGCTGAGACAGAAGTATCACTTGAAACTGGGAAGCACAGGTTGCAGTGAGCCAAGATCGCACCACTTTACTCCAGCCTGGGAGACACAGTGAGATTCTAACTCAAAAAAGTAAAATAAAATAAAATGGCAATGACCTACATGTTTCATAGGCACTATTGGCTGGAAAGCCCAAGGTTTTTCTCCTCTCTCTGGTCACCCAAAGATTTAGTTTCTTACCACCCAAGGCCCTGGGTGGGACAGGCCCTGACACAGCTGATTATACCAACAACATAATAAAAAAATCTCACAATGTCCTGAGAACTTACCTGAAATTTAAAACCATCTCTTAACTTGGAAGCCTGCTTACTTTTAAAAGTTAGTCAGTCTGGCAAGCAACTTGAAATCCTTTGAAACTGTTTACTGGAATTTTCCAGTAAACCTGCCTGAGGTATCCACCCTGACTTAGAAAGATGTAAAATGCAGCCAGGTGCAGTGGCTCACGCCTGTAATCCTAGCACTTTGGGAGGCCGAGGTGGGTGGATCACCTGAAGTCAGGAGTTCAAGACCAGCCTGGCCGTCATGGAGAAAACCCATCTTTAAAAAAAAAAAAAAGAGAGAGAGAGAGAAAGATGTAAAATGCTGGTGACATCACAATGAGCATAAAATAGGGCAACTGTTGCATCTGTAAGTAAGCAGCCTCCTGAGTAAACCATACTACAAACTGGTCTGTGTTCTCATGTGTTGGGGATGGGACAATGAAGCATGTTCTCTATGATAACTGAGATTATTTCTGAGATATTTATTTTAGAATAAAGAATTCAGTGGCCGGGTCAGTGGCTCATACCTGTAATCCCAGCACTGTGGGAGGCTGAAGCGGAAGAATCACCTGAGACCAGGAGTTCACGACCAGCTTGGCCAACATGGTGAAACCATGTCTCTGCTAAAAATACAAGGTTGGGCATGGTGGCTCACATCCGAGGCAAGCGGATCACCTGAAGTCGGGAGTTCAAGACCAGCCTGACCAACATGAAGAAACCCCATCTCTACTAAAAATACAAAATTGGTCAGGCGAGGTGGCTCATGCCTGTAATTCCAGCTCTTTGGGAGGCTGAGGCCAGAGAATCACCTGACATTAGGAGTTCAAGACCAGCTTGGCCAACATGGCAAAACCCCATCTCTACTAAAAATACAAAAAATTAGCCAGGTATGGTATTGCGCGCCTGTAATCCCAGCTACTTGGGAGGCCAAGGCAGGAGTGTTGCTTGAACCCAGGAGGCAGAGGTTGCGGTGAGCCAAGATCACACCCCTGCACTCCAGTCTGGGTGACAGAGACTCTGTCTCAAAAAAAAGAAAAAAGAAACTGCACAATTATGATTCCAGGATGATCAGTAAATTAAGGGTTTTAAACACACATAACCACAGCAATACCTTGAAAGAAAGACCTCAGAGTAATATGCCTATGTCAGACATGCTTAAGAGAATTCTTTCTGCTAAGATTACTTGAAAAACAAAAGAACAGAAAAATGGTTTAAATTGTCAATTATTACAGAAGGACAAAACCAGAAAAGGGGAGCCTGGAAGAAGAATAAGACTGTCACTTCCATCTCTTCCTAAAAAGACACAGAAAGCTTCAATGCCTTCACTGTGGTTTTGGATTGGAATGGTGCTGCAGTGGGAACTGCAAATACAAATAAACATGAAAAGAATAAATGCAGGCTGGGCGTGGTGGCTCATGCCTGTAATCCAAGCACTTTGGAGGCCAAGGTGAGTGGATCACCTGAGGTCAGGAGTTCAAAACCAGCCTGACCAACATGGTGAAACCCCATCTTTAAAATAAAAATAAAAATAAAAATAAAAAAGAACAAATACAGATGTAAAATAAAGACATGCTAGAAATCAAAGAAACTGACCTCTACCAGACACACTCAGGACTGGGTATAGCTTTGCCTGTTGTTCCTGACTCACACAGCCCAAGCAAGGTAGAAGGAGAAACATAACAAAATTATATAGGAAATGGGAGAGCAGAAGGTCTTGGAGCATAAACTGTTAAAATAATAATATGAATAAGGGGGAAAGGAGAGAGATTTCACTTCCCACTAGCAATAAGTGAGCTCTTTTTCTTAAGTGGTAACTGTTGTAAACAATTGAAAAACATACATAATAATCACAAGTTATAAATGTTCTCAGAAACTCCCTGGTTTCAACTATTCTTTGACAAATATCTACAGAGGGAACTCAGCATCTGCTATGAAGTTCAGGGAAAAGTAATTTTAACCAATGGAGCTATGCCAAAATATTACCCTCGGGGTCTGACCAATTAAATGGTGCTTCTTAGTGTAGAGTTTAGGAGAGATGACAGCTTGAACGCTGCAGCAGAGAAACCTACGCCTTCATTTCAGCCCAGGCATTCTGCCCCAAAGGGTGAGTCAATCAGGAAACAAAGCAGTTCAGAGTATAGTCTTCTAACAACGCTGAAAACAGAATAAATGGACCTGCAGTTTAATTACAGTAGGATCCTTCTTCCATCGAAATTGATGACAAAGCTCATCAAGAATAAAGAGACTCTGATCCCCTTACTACTCTGGTGCAGGAAACAGGATTTACCAGATAAGCTTTTCTGGACTGAAGAAGCTGCTTTCACGAGATATTATCACAATGACTAATGGGAACCAAGCTGTTTTGTTTTGTTTTGTTTTGTTTTGTTTTTAATGAAGCCAGGGACTAGGTAAAGGGGTTTATGGCACTCCAATGCACTGGGAAAAGGCAGCACTTCAGGACAGGAATTCTGTCTAGGCTCAAAATTATGTAATTTACCTTTCCAAAGTAGACTGCACAAAGATTTCTGCAGCCAAATGTATCATGATGTAGAATGAATTCTGGGGTTAACTCCTTTAATTTCCTCAAAACAATAGAACTTGCTACATTGAAAAAATAATTGAAAGGATTAAAATAATGCATGTCAAAGCATTTACCCCAGAGCCCAGCAAATAATGAGTGTTCAATAGAAAGCGGTCGTAAATAATTTAAAGAAAATATTTTTTAAGGTTCTTTGTTTTTGTTGTTGTTTTAACATAAAAAGGCCCATTAAGGTTCTTAACTTTTTAATTTTATTTCCTTATTTTTGAGACAGGGTCTCCCTCTGTCGCCCAGGCTGGAGTGCAGTGGCATGGTCTCACTCACTGCAACTTCTGCTTCCTGGGTTCAAGTGATCCTCCAGCCTCAGCCTCCTGGGTAGCTGGGGCTATAGTTGCAAGCCACCACGCCAAGCTAATTTTTTTCCCTTTTTTCTCTTTTTTTTTTTTTGAGACAGAGTTTCCCTCTGTCACCCAGGCTGGAGAGCAGTAGTGCGATCTTGGCTCACTGCAACCTCTGCCTACTGGGTTCAAGCGATCTTCTGTTTCAGCCTCCCAAGTAGCTGGGACTACAGGTGCACACCACCACACCCAGCTAATCTTCGTGTTTGTAGCAGAGACGGGGCTTCACCATGTTGGCCAAGCTGGTCTTGAACTCCTGACCTCAGGTGATCTGCCTGCCTCAGCTTCCCAAAGTGCTGGGATTACAGGTGTTGAGCCACCGCATCAGGCATGTAATTTTTTGTATTTTTAGCAGAGACAGGGTTTCACCATGTTGGCCAGGCTGGTCTCAAACTCCTGAGTTCAAGCAATCCGCTGGTCTTGGCCTTCCACAGTACTGGGATTATAGGTGTGAACCACCACGCCCAGCCCATTAAGGTTCTTTAAAAAGACAATGTGTATCTGCTCTATTCCTCTATCTGCTTTTTAAAAATGTAGGTATGCCAATACCTCTAATCATGTTCCATTTAGTTTTTGAGCCACTCCTCTAAGAATTAAATGACTACAGGCCCCTTCCACCAGTTCTTAATTATATAATCCCTTGAAAAACTTCTCAGTGGTGGTCAGAGTGGTTTATCCTCCTTGCAGCCCCAGGCTGTTACATCTCTTCCCAATTCCACCCCATTGCTAACGAGTTTGTTACTCCTCAAAACCCTGCAGTCCCGCCAGTTTAGAATCTCTCCCTTAGCTCCTCAACCCTTCTCTGTCAAATTCAAAGAATGAACATATACCTCTGGCCCCTACCTGGTGCACTCTAATTGCTTGCACTGCACTGAAGTCAGATAGGATTTGGTGATAAATCCAGGATGAATTCAGACTAAGCACCCGCTTCCTCCTACAGACCTTTAGCTTGGTTTGATGTTTGATCTCAATCTGAAAATTATGCTGACTTCCTGAAATGTTTTCTGCTCCTGCCAGGAGGATGTGATCTAGCCAATATCTACGACAAGCAGCAGAAATGAGTAGATATTTCTAGGTCTCCTGGTGTCACAAAAACCTTTGTATCTTCACTATATTCTCTCCTTGCAAAGAACACCTGTGCTCAACATGATCTTCAGGTTTTACTATTTGCCTATATCCCACAACAAAGTGCAAAAGTCATATTCACCACCCTTTGATAGATAGAACAAAAAAAGACACCTGTGCTGATAGCAGAAAGGAATGTTGTTCACTGCTTTCACACAGTCATTAGACCATCCACATTGAGACATGCTGCTACTTTTACCCTTTTGCTCCTGGAATTACAAAGTGGAAGGACAGATGATTTTCTTTGCAATACAGCAAGGATACAGAATGCGCGCGTGTGCGCACACACACAGGCACACACACACACACAATCAAAACCTTTACCTGTCTCATATTATGGTTTGACACCAGCAGAATGAACCTGGTTCAAGTGGTTATGATAATCCACAAAGATCCCAAGATGACTCAAGCAAATGGTTAACCTGTAGCCAATCCAGTCCTCTAATGAATGTACTAAAGCAGATTTCACAGTAGGAAGCAATGGGAAAGGGAGGTGGGTTCAGAAAATAGGGACTACTAAGACTGTTTACCAGCTGAGTGACCCCAAGCAAATTACTTACTTAATCTTTTCTCCAGAGACTTGCCAAGGGGTGAAGCTATTCAGTAACTAGCATTAGCTGTAGCCTCCAATACTCAAGGAAAGTTTCAATTCAAAGAGTAAAGAAAAGTTCACATGGCCAGGTGCGGTGGCTCACGCCTATAATCCCAGCACTTTGGGAGGCCGAGGCGGGTGGATCACGAGGTCAAGAGATCGAGACCATCCTGGTCAACAAGGTGAAACCCCGTCTCTACTAAAAATTAGCTGGGCATGGTGGTACGCGCCTGTAGTCCCAGCTACTTGGGAGGCTGAGGCAGAAGAATTGCTTGAACCCAGAAGGCGGAGGTTGCGGTGAGCCAAGATCGTGCCATTGCACTCCAGTCTGGGTAAGAACAGCAGAACTCTGTCTCAAAAAAAAGGAAAAGAAAAGTTCACAAAGGCCCAGTAGTAATTTGTAAACCACCACACTCAGAAAACACTCAAAAGTTAGGCTACAAATTCTGGAAACCAACAAAAACAAACTGTTATTTAAAAGAATGGGCCAGGCTTGGTGGCTCACTCCCGTAATCCCAGCACTTTGGGAGGCCAAGGTGGACAGATCACCGGAGGTCAGAGTTCAAGACCAGCCTGGCCAATCTGGCAAAACCCTGTCTCTACTAAAAATACAAAAATTAGCTGGGCATGGTGGTGGGTGCCTGTAATCCCAGCTACTCAGGAGGCTGAGGCAGGAGAACTGCTTGAGTCATAGAAGTGAAGGTTGCAGTGAGCCAAGATCGCACCATTGCACTCCAGCCTGGGTGACAGAGTGAAGCCTGTTGTAGTGGCTCATACCTGTAATCCCAGCTACTGGGTGGCTGAGGTGGGAGGATTACTTGAGCCTAGGAGATCAAGGCTGCAGTGAACTGTGATCACGCCACTGTACTCCAACCTGGGTGACAGAGGGAGATCCAGTCTCAAAATAAAAATTAAATAGCAGAAGGTGGTGGCTGGGTATGGTAGCTCACACCTGTAATCCTAGAACTGTGGGAGGCCAAGGGAGGAGAATCACTTGAGGCCAGGAGTTTGAGACCAGCACAAAGCCTGGGCAACACAGCGAGACCTCACTCTGGTGCCAAGGCTGGACTACAATGATGCACTCTTGGCTCACTGCAGCCTTGACCTCTTGGGCTCAGGTGATCCACCTACCTCAGCCTCCTGAGTAGTTGGGACTATATGCACATGCCACCATACTCACCTATTTTTATTTTTGTAGAGACAGGGGTCTCACTATATTCCCCAGGCTGGTCTCAAACTCCTGGGCTCAAGCAATCTTCCTACCTCAGCTTCCCAAACTGCTGGGATTACAGGCATGAGCCACTGCCCAGGCTCTACAAACAAAAAAAAAAATTAAAAGGATGGTGAATTATAGGCTAAAATTTCCCATTATTAGGTTAAAAAATAGCCAAATCCCGTATCTATCAAAAGTAACATCAGCAGTCAATCAGTGGCTTCATTTTATAAACCATATGGATGCAGTATGGTATAAAATAGGAAAAACAACCATGCCCAGGAAGAAAGAATGGT